CAAAGAAGTGTAATGCAATTCTTCAGTGGAGTGACACATAAAAGAACTCCAGAACTTAAAAAAATAAAACAACTGTGGGTATACCTGCCTATTATTTTTTACTTTTAAAGGAAAAATTTACCATATCTTAATCATGATCTATTTGCATACATTTTTCCTTTCTTATGAACATGTTTTTATAGGGCAGAAATTAAACAAATGATGTACAAAGACCCGCACGTTAAAAAGATTTACAATACAATCATAATACAATTGGCATGGTAAACAACTGGAGTGAGTAAGTAGGCAGGGGGGGTGGTATTATAAAAGAACCTGTTCCTAGGTAGCATCTGTTCAAGATGCACGAACGTCTTAATCATTAGGAAAACTATGAGTCAAAAGCTCAATATCAGGCACTGACAAGGAAAAAAGCAACAATTGTAAGGTTATGTGAACACTTACAAAGCATATACAGATTATGCCAGTTTTAAACAAAATAAGCGAGAGCTAGGAAACTGCTCTCCTTTTTGTAATTTTGCCTACAGTGATGGATTGATGTTGGCCTGTTTTACTGTCTCAGCGCTGGCCAAAACAACTGCTTTTTTAAAAGCTAAGGAGGATTATAAAGAAGTTGAAATTGAGGCAAAACTTTTTTATTGCATTCACTGAGTAAAAATAAGTTTCAAGTCTTTTTGCACAGTGGATTGATTGCTAGGAGCAAAATTACAACAATGAAATGTTCAATTAATGTTGTGTGTCTCTGTGGAGCATAGCTTGCAAGAGCTCTCTGAACAGCATCTGTCTTCTGAATAGAAGAATACAGAAGTAAAAATGAAGGGTGTAGCTTTTTTCAGTTTTCAAATCATTACGTGACATGCTTCCAAAAAATTAGGAAGTGGACTGTGATTGATGGCTGCTGTTGGAAAACTTGCTTTAATCTTTCTGAGACTTTCAAAATCTACTTGATCTAAATATAATGAGGCGTGTTATTACAGCACAGTTTGTTTCATTTTAAACCCTTTATTACTTTACAGGCAGCATCATTTACATGCTAAGTGTACTATTTAAATGCTTCCACGCTCTAAATCAGTGGTCTCCAAAGTGGGCTGCATGTGCATTGGGGTGCGGGAAGAAAATACTAGAAATGCAGTAGTACATGTATATAATTATTTTTTTTTTAAAGATATATTGGGGGTGCGTGCTCAAAAATTTTTTACTGATAGAAATTTTTTACTGATAGGAGTGCATGATCCAAAAAGTTTGTAGACCACTGTTCTAAACGTATCGGTATGAATTCTTCTTTCCTAGTAGCTTCCCCACCTTTTTTCATTTTTGATTCACAAGTTTCCAATCTGAAAAACCTCAAGAATCAATGGTGCCAGAAATGCAAATGTTGTCTTTGTCAATTTATGGCCTCATCCTTCTTATCAAGAAATACTGAACTTCCTCAGAGGATTTGCATGAGGCTATTTCACATGAAGCATTATGAAATGCCCATCAGAAGCATGAATGAATATGTGGAATTATTACAATAATAGTTTTGTACCCAGTTCTTCACCAGAATATCGCCTTCTTCTGGCTTTATGCACCACTGGCATGGTTTTCACAATCCTATATAGTGGTTCCTAATACAGGAACTTTGCCTGAGAAATCCAGAACCTAAAAGGGCAACAAAATGCTGCAGAGAACAGAACTATCTGTCCCTATGCATGTGCTTCTGTTGGTCCTTGAGGTTCTGGGTTTTTTTGCTACAATGCCACAAAACATCAGTTAAGAACTCCTGCGGGAAGCAGGAAAAGGAACAGAACATGAACCACGAGTCCATGACTCCATATTCCTTTCAGTCAGTCACCTGGGAAACTGCGAAGATGCTCAATTTTTGGTATAGTTGTTTTGATCACATCCTTGCAGTTAGTTAATGAAAATTACTTTTTTTGGCAATAAATAAATAAAAGAAAGGGAATCAGCTTCTAATATGTAAAAGTTGCTTTTCATTTCTTTTGTGCCATAGGGATGAGGGAGAATTATCCCAAATCTCTTCACCCATGGCAGGCAACCTACATTGTCATACAACGGCAAAATAACAACCTTTTGGCCACTTCATGCCTGCCCTTGAGTTTGGATCAAATGAACCACATTTCTTTCATTACATTCAAACCTATTGCTAAGCACAGCGTATTACCAATGGCAACTGTAGTAACATCATTATTTACATAGGTCTCTCAACTTTTCAGGGTTTCCTTACAAGACTAGCTTGAAAAAGGCTCCCCATGGAATATTCTGGAAATCTGTCTAAATGTATACCAATGACAGGACGTGAGCTTCCTGCTCCCATGCTCCTAATAAAATAAGTATGAAAACAATCTCATAAATGTCTTTTCATTGTTTTTTAAACTATTCATCAGTGGCTTTCTATGCTTTTCTTAGCTCCATGGTGCTACAGTAAGTGCACCAGTAAGTACAAATCCTGGCACATGATACTGAGAACACACAAAACACCTTCTTGGGTCAGGCAAGTGAGTCTCCCAAGCTCAGCAGTGGCAAGAGTAGATGCTATTCAGTAAGAGAAGCCAAGCCTGGCCTTTCTGCATCCCTTCCACTTGCGGTGAACCTCTCAGGCTCAGAGCCCTGCCACAAGACGGCGCTGGGACCAGAAGCAGCACAGGGAAGCGTGGAGAAGGTTAGTGTCCCAAGCAAGGACCGCAGTGCCCCCAGCAAGGACCGCAGTGCCCCCAGCAAGGACCGCAGTGTCCCAAGCAAGGAGCGCAGTGCCCCAAGCAAGGACAGCAGTGCCCCCAGCAAGGACAGCAGTGCCCCCAGCAAGGACCGCAGTGCCCCCAGCAAGGACAGCAGTGCCCCCAGCAAGGACCGCATCGTCCCAAGCAAGGACAGCATCGTCCCAAGCAAGGACCGCAGTGCACCTGAGCAACAAAGAACCTCTCTCTTTCAGCAACTGTTTATGGAACAGTCGTCCATGAGGTTGTTTTTATCACTTTAAGTCTGCTAATATAATTTGCTCACAGTGTAGTGCTTTGGCTGTTAGCTCCCTACATTTTTCACCTGTTGCTCCCCAAACCAAAAGAGAGCCATTTAATATCTCATGACAAGGAAGCTGCTTCATCCCTGTTGTTTAATTTGCCTTTCCCCATACACTCACTAACTTCACTCTGGAAATGTTGTCCTTGACATGGCCACCAGAACTGCACTCTAATATTCAAGATGCAGGTCCGCTATGGTCATACACAGTAATAAACCCATGCCTTCCGCCTTGTCTGTAACACTGGTTATGTCCAGTATTTTGTTAAATTTTGTCTGCTGCTGTGCAATGAGAGATTATATTAGACAACTGTCAGTGATGATGCAGTGATCCAGTGATCTTTCCTGAGTTTTACACATTAATTCCAAGTTCAGGATTGCCCAGGCACAGTTAAAGGAGATCTTTTTTGTCAGATGCCTTAACTCATATTTATGCACCCTGACACTCATCTACCGTCTTGTTGCCCACTAATTACATTTTGTAAGATCCTTCTGTAGTTCCCTGACATCTAATATCATCCCAGTAATTAAATGCTATGAAGTACCATCCACAAAGTGATAAATTTCACTGTTTATTCTCATTCTGCAGGTCATGGGCGAATATATTGAATAAAACTTGACACAGCACCCATCCTATGGTACTTCACTTCTGACCCATCCATCCTAACAAGCTACCACAAGTCTCTTCTCTCACAGCAGCATGGTCAGTGCAAAAGGATACCATGAAGTCAGCTGGAGGCTTGGTTTCAACTTAGATACCAGCTCCCTTTCTCCTACTGGATGCTCTCCTTCCCCCAGGTTTACACACTCCTTAGCAGCACAGGGGCTGTCACAGTAGAAGTGGGACAGTTGTACAACGTCCCTACTGGCCCCATCTAAAAACCTCTCCATTTCACCTCGCTCACCAATCTCAAGCCACCAAACGCATCTCTTGCCATCAAAGGCTCTTTTCACCAACTACACGCTTCCAGACATGATCCCAGGGCAGGTTATGAGATCTACAAATGTTCTCTGCCACAACCTCAGCTCCATTCAGTTGCCAGGCTTCTACCTGTATCCCATGGTTACCACTGTAACAGAAATTACAAACCTAGGGATTTCTCACCTATTGGGAGAAAGTGCTAGCATTTGGTAGTTTGACCCTTGAACGCAGTGACTGGCAGGAATTTTACCAAAGAAATACAGGTTTCATATTTCAGTTTCAAACTTGAGATTAAATAAACCAGCAAAAAGGCTTAAAAGCTCAGGTGCAAAGGTTAGTGTGGGAAGGTTATGCTAAGCAGCTAAGAGTTTCTTCAAAATTTTCAGGTTGCTTCACATTGATGAACCTTTAGGTCCTAAGGAATCATACCCATTTACTGCTACACCACTGCAGCTTGACCAAGTCCAGAGGTCTTCTGGCACTAAGCAGCTTTCAGGACAGGATTCACTATTGGCTCATCCCATCTTACAATGCTGCACCTTAACAATATCCACTTGGAGTTGGCTACCATGTCTTGCCGGCGATTTGCATGGCAAAAGACTTTCAACAGATAAAAAAACAACCTCTACTCTGCAAAGGCTCCATACCCCAGTCTCAGAAAGATTTACTTGCTCCTGGAAATCCACTAATTTAGTACAACTGTTTTTGAATTTAGAGATAAAATCTCTCCTCAAGAGCTTAATCTCTGAATTGGACATTTCATTAAAAAATGTACTGTTCTAATCTACTCTTCTCAATATAAACACATTCTAGACCTTCTTCTCTATAGCTTGTCTCTAAAGACTTCAATCAGCAAGCTCTCTTATTCTCTTAATAGCATTTATTTGATGGGCAAATCAAATTAACCTAAAAATACTCTTTTCCTCAGTAACTTCTCTTCTCATATAACCGTTCCGTGGAAATATAACGGAGACATTTAAAACTCATGTCGTGATGTTTTTAATAGGCACAAGTTCTGCTAGTGAAATTGGGGGCAGGGGTGTGTACAAATATTTGTATGTACCTTCTATCATTTCCATACCACTAGGAGGCTTACAATGTCCGGCATGGCTCACAACCCAAACGGGATACTGCTGATTTAGTCCACAATATAAGGCCTGTATAAAGGTCCTGTAATAACCTGCCAGTCCAGGGTTACCTGCCAAAAAACAAAACATACAAGCACAGTCAGCATTAACCTTCCAACAGCAAGCAATCTGCTTCAAAGCAAAACAAACAGCATTACACAGCAATCTGTTAATTTATTTTCTCTAGCACATTTTCAGTTTTTATTTTCCCAATTTCAGGGGCTGCGCTATTGAACTGGTTTAATTCCATTGATCAATGGCAGCCATGAGAAGCATTTTACAGAATTACTTTGAAATTACAGAAACAAAAATTGAAGCTCAAGACAAGCAAGAAATCTCCTTCTCGATCAGAGGTCAACCAGCTTGCTTAGCAATCCCATCAAGTTACAGATACATGAAAATTGGGCAAAGAAACCCCCAGGTCTTATAAAAATATTACAAAGACTACAGCATATAACAACTGATCCAGACATCTGCCCTCCAGAATATCTCAGTGTTACCACTTCAAAATAAGTGTGTGGTATCCTGACAATGCAAAGGTCTGTAATGACCCTAAAAGAGAGGATGATTTTATTTTAAACTCATTGGACTAAATTAATTTTTTCTGCTTGTAACTTCGTTTTCTCTTCTGTCCTCTTCCACGCCTCTTGAGCAGCTCTTTCCTTTTCAACCCTTGTTTTCTAGAACCATGGGAGAATCTGTCATCCCTCCTGCATCCCATCAGCATTAGAGAGAACTTCTCGGAAGAGGCTGGTGTCTGAAAAAATCCGTCTTGCCCTGGGAAAGCAGACCACCTTGCTCTAATCCTATTGCTTAACAGTGACAATATCATCAGTCAGGTACTGTTGCTGAAGTGCAAACTGAAATACTGTCCCAAAGATAAAAATATATATCTAGTAGGGATTTCAGGATTCCAAACAAAACTCTAATCTCTATTCCTTCTTTTTTCCTCTCTCTTTTGGATATCAATAGTGACAGTGTCAAGGGACTTAAGTTGGAGCGTAAATCCTTGTGAAGATGAAGCAGATTCTGTTTCCTGATTCCCATAGGATGCATAAAAATTCCATAGAGACATAAAACCATATAATTTCTCTCTATTTATTTATTCATTTCCCAGGATATTTCCACTGATTTCTTATTATCATTTAGACACCAGGGAAGCCCACCATCTTGGTTAGGATTGCTCAGTTACATGTCTTTCACTCAAATACTAGGCAATTCTTGGTTTGGATATCATCAATGGCAAAAGGCTTCGAGAGCAGTATTGTGTAAAAAGGCATTCACTTTTTAAGACAAAGATATCCCAAAATAACACAAATGTATTATTGAAAGGGTAAGAGAAGAAAAAAAAGAAACAACCAACCCACATTAAAATTGTGTAAACACTTTTACATCAGTCTGATTGCAATAACAGAGGCTGAGCTATGTAAGTATTGATAGTTACAGAGAAGAAGAATTAGAGCTGTAATCAAATTAGTATTTGTAGAATTGGTGTGTGGAGATAAAAACTAGGTTTATTCCACTTCTTCCCTTTCCATAGTGGGCGTTTTCATTTTGTCTTCTACTTCAACCCTTTTGCTCTTCAGGTCACACACAGTAAGTTCATGCTCTCCCAAGAGGCATTCCCTCAGTCCACGGCTTCCAGAACAGAGCCTACCCACTGCAGGGCAGCGGGCCACCAGGCGCCCAGAGCCACCACCGGCACAGGCACCTGCGCAGGAGCTGATGCCATTGCTCACCCCAGTGATGACACGCAGGCAGAGCAGGGAAGCCTTCCACTCTAGGTAATACATCACACATACCTCATCCCTCACTTACATGTAGAAAGTGTGTCTGATGGTTTTTAGACCTTAATAAAATTACTGACCTTAACATTATTTTTACTGGAGTACACGGATTTTGAAAAAAAAAACCAAACCAAAACATCAAAACCCCCAAACCACAGTATCAGTTATTATATGTTCTAAGCATAGAAGGAAAGGAGGCTGTAGTGAGGTGGGTGTTGGTCTCTTCTCCCAAGTAACAAGACAAAGATATCCCAAAATAACACAAATGTATTATTGAAAGGGTAAGAGAAGAAAAAAAAGAAACAACCAACCCACATTAAAATTGTGTAAACACTTTTACATCAGTCTGATTGCAATAACAGAGGCTGAGCTATGTAAGTATTGATAGTTACAGAGAAGAAGAATTAGAGCTGTAATCAAATTAGTATTTGTAGAATTGGTGTGTGGAGATAAAAACTAGGTTTATTCCACTTCTTCCCTTTCCATAGTGGGCGTTTTCATTTTGTCTTCTACTTCAACCCTTTTGCTCTTCAGGTCACACACAGTAAGTTCATGCTCTCCCAAGAGGCATTCCCTCAGTCCACGGCTTCCAGAACAGAGCCTACCCACTGCAGGGCAGCGGGCCACCAGGCGCCCAGAGCCACCACCGGCACAGGCACCTGCGCAGGAGCTGATGCCATTGCTCACCCCAGTGATGACACGCAGGCAGAGCAGGGAAGCCTTCCACTCTAGGTAATACATCACACATACCTCATCCCTCACTTACATGTAGAAAGTGTGTCTGATGGTTTTTAGACCTTAATAAAATTACTGACCTTAACATTATTTTTACTGGAGTACACGGATTTTGAAAAAAAAAACCAAACCAAAACATCAAAACCCCCAAACCACAGTATCAGTTATTATATGTTCTAAGCATAGAAGGAAAGGAGGCTGTAGTGAGGTGGGTGTTGGTCTCTTCTCCCAAGTAACAAGCGATAGGATGAGGGGAAATGGCCTCAGGTTGCAACAGGGCGGGTTTAGGTTAGACAATAAGAAAAAATTTCTTCACCGAAAGGGTTGTCAAGCATTGGAACGGGCTGCCCAGGGAAGTGGTCGCGTCCCCATCCCTGGAGGTATCGAAAACCTGGGCAGACGTGGTGCTTAGGGACGTGGTTTAGTGGTGGGATGGGAGGCTTAGGTTAGCAGTTGGACTGATGATCTTCAAGGCCTTTTCCAACCTAAATGATTTTATGATTCTAAGCATTTCTTTGTAAGCTTAACACTAAAGGAGAAATAAAAAAAAAAAAAAGAAAAAGTTCTTGTATATGTAAACTCCAGAATGCATGATCAAATTTTTGCAAACTGATTTCCAGAAAAACAACTTAAAATTCACAGGGGTCACACATTCATACAGTTGCACCACATTTTCATGCACCAAAAATATATCATATAGAGTCCCAGAGACAATAAAATCAAACCTAGACATCATCTGTCAAGCTCCTTGGATTGATGTTACATAGTGGAAACCTGTCTTTCAGCAAGGCTGAAGATGAAAGTAGCAGCAATCCAAAAAGTGTGTCTTTTGTAGTACAAATGATCATGATGTTTTGGCACTACACTTAGTCTTGGAATATAATGCAATCGGGTATTTTGAGATCAAGGAATCACAAAATTAACCTCAAACCCAGACTTTTTTCTTTCCATTTTTTTCTCCTTTAATAATGCAGAAAAGGGGAGAAATGGCAACAGCTGTCTTAGACATTTTGACGCTCTTTCCCATCACCAGCCAGGTGAGCCTAACACATAAATATTCTCAGGAACCAGTCACCAGCTTAAAAGCAGCGAAGTAAGAACTGTTTACGAACAGTGAGGCTTTGCATCAAACACTATGCAAAGCTCAAGGCACTCTAATACTTTTTTGAGGGAAATTTGCTGTGATCAGTGTGATGTGTATTTTAGGCAGGTAAAAGAAACCCCATTTCCTCACTCTTCATAAGCATCTGCTCGTGGTAAAAGGCATTTTGAGGGGTCAGCTGTTAGAACTGCTACTGATACTTTAAAATGCCTTGAAGGGGTATGAATGAGAACCGCTGGCACACATGGAAAGGAAAATCAACAACAAAGATTGTAACAGCAAAGACTTCTATAGAGAAATCACCACGTGTAAAGCAGCTATAAATTTATTGTTTATTGAACTTCCAATTTCAATGGAGTTATGCCAGATTTGCACTGACTTAAGTAAATGCAGATTAGTAGTCCCTGCTCTTGAAAGCTTGCATCTGCAATATTTATAAGTGGAGAATGTTTATCTCCTAATATAGCTCATATAGTTGCATCTCTGCAACTTCGGTCATTTTATGTTTTCACTTTAGCTGCTCTCTGCCGAAATACTTCAAGGGGAGTAAACAAAACATCTGAACAAATAAAGATTTTTTTTCTTGTGGTGGTTTGGCCCTGGCTGGATGCCAGGGGCCCACCAAAGTCGCTCTATCACTCCCCTCTTTAACCAGACAGGGGAGAGAAGAGTAGATCAAAAGGCTCGTGGGTCGAGATAAGGACAGGGAGAGATCATTCGCCAGTTACCATCACGGGCAAAACAGACTCAACTGGATGAAATTAATTTAATTTATTACCAAGCAAAATCAGAGAAGGAGAGGATAAAAACTGCTGAATCTTAAAACACCTTCCCCCCACCCCTCCCTTCTTCCTGGGCTCAACTTCACTCCCAGTTTCTCTACCTACTCCCCCCAGCGGCACAGGGGGATGGGAATGGAGGTTGGGGTCAGTTCATCACATGTTGTCTCTGTCGCTTCTTCTTCCTCGGGAGAGGACTCTTCCCCTGCTCCAGCGTGGGGTCCCTCCCACGGCAGACAGTCCTCCACAAACTTCTAAAACGTGAGTCCTTCCCACGGGCTGCAGTTCCTCATGAACTGCTCCAGCGTGGGTCCATCCCACCCACAGGGTGCAGTCCCTCAGGAGCAGACTGCTCCAGTGTGGGTCCCCTGCGGGGTCACAGGTTCTGCCACCAAATCTGCCTCGGCGTGGGCTCCTCCCCCACGGGTCCACAAAGTCTTGCCAGGAACCTGATCTGGCGCAGGCTTCCCACAGGGTCACAGCCTCCTCCCTTTGGGCATCCACCCGCTCTGGTGTGGGGTCCTCCCCAGGCTACAGGTGGAGATCTGCTCCACCATGGACCTCCATGGGCTGCAAGGGGACAGTCTGCCTCACCATGGGCTGCACCACAGGCTGTTACGGTAACAGCTAATGGAAATAATTGGGGCTTAATATGCACAGCAGTCTGT